GATTGATGAGCTTCGTTGCTCTTTAGATACCTGCAAGGAACCAAATGTCAAAGGACCCGGGGTGGCTAACCCGGCGAGGTCGCTCTGATGCTTAAGTCAGTACTCTCATAGTAGACTGCGAGCTAAAAATCACAAAGTATGAGAGCTAGAATTTGCTTACTTGCTTACTTGCCCCACTGTTATTGGGGTTGGTGCCTTTATATAGGCCTTGCTCACGTACCGCCCTCGAGATCTCCGGGAGGTCGTGTCTAACTAGTCCGAGATCCTCGGAGGTAACTGCCATGCACGTTGACCATCTTCCGGAACGAGGGCCAACCTGCAAGGATCGTGGGGTATGCATGCTGAATTTGTCGGCGAGCACGTCTCACAGGTCGCCAGGTCGGCGCCTAGGCCAGGTCGACGCATGTGCCAGGCTGCCAGGCCGCACCTGGGCAAGGCCGCCAGGCCGTGCCTGGGCCATACCGTCAGGTTGAACACCATCAACTTGGCAAGTTGTTTTCTGAGTGGTTCCGGGTATTACCTAATTGTTCTGAGGTGGCATGTGTCACAATGTCTTTGGAGGGTCAAATCTGCCCTCATCAAGATGAATTCCTTCTAATATACATTATAAGATCAAAACATGTTGCTTTGCAAGCAACCACTGGATTAATAATATAGGCCGGAAGAGAAGAAATTTAATAGAATCCAATCCATACAAAAACAGAAGCAATGATTTTGCTACGAGTTGGAAACTTTCCCTGCTTGGAGGTTGTTCGATAACAACTGAAATGAACTCATTCACTTATCGCCTTGCTGATTCTATGCATGGCCAACCTTGGGGTATCGGTGAAGTTTGAGTTTTGGTAGATGGTGTGTGAACGAACATCAAGGAGAGGAAATGCCTAATTGGTGGTTTAGAAAATCTGAAGCCAGAACTCGGGTTGATAGAAAACTGGGCAATTAATGGTTTCAATCCATCCGGTTGAATCATCATATTTTGGGTCTGGTTCTAGTAAATGGTTGGGTTTTTGAAGCTCTTATAAATGGTTGGGTTTCATGCTTTTTTAAAATCGGCATATCTCTAAAGATAGAGGCTTGTGCGTTAAAAATACTCCACACGATCAAGTATATCCWCCTTTTAATAAATTGAAGCTGACATGAACTTCACTTTTAGCCATTATGTGGCAACTAGCTCATGATTTTCTCACTAAAGTGGTAATCTAAAAGTTGTGACATCTAAATGTAGTGGAGTTGTTCGGTAATCTAAAAGTTCTGATATCTGAAAAGTAGTATTTCATAAATTTATCCCTCAAGTTATTACATAAATAAAAGTAAACAAAGATGGCTAAAGTAAAATGATATTATAAAAATGATACAAAAATAACAAAAAATAAGAAATATAATAAAAATCAGTAAATAATATTAATAAAAATTTAAAAATAATGTTAAAATGATAAAATAGTAAAATTTATTATCAATATAATAAAAATTAATAAAAATTAAAAAATAATGGTAATAAAAAATTAAATATATAAAAAGATCATTTAATAATAATAATAGTAATAAATAATGTAAAATATAATAAGGAGTTTTGTAAATAGAAAAATAATGTAAAAAAGATAAAATAGTAAAAAGTTATAAATATAATAGTAAGAATTGTCATAAATATAATAAATAGTAAAAATAATATAAAATAAAATAGTCTAAAATACAAGATAGTTTTGGATTTTTTAAAAATTTAAGGGGGCACCATTGAAATACAATTTTCATGTGCTACCTCTGAATCCATTCGGAGGTAGCTTAGCTTTTCAAATATTTGAAGCATTTTTTGGTGTTTAGTGGCTCCGTTAGGAGGTATAGCCAAAGGACCACCAAACACCAAAAAAGCAAAATTTTCAGTGTTTGGTGGTCAATTTAGAATTACCAAACACCACTTATTCACCTAATTCCTCAATTTGTAGTGGAAATATAACTTGGCTGAGCAAATCAATACATCCCCTACATGACATGCAATAGTCAGATTAGTGTGTGTAGGGATCAATTTGAGGATAGAACCGTATACCTCTCTAATTCTTAGTTAAGAAAATAAGAGAAAGACTCGAGTTGAATGAGAATGGTTTGATGGATGGTGAACAATCGAAACTTGTGTATTTATAGATATAGAGTTAGAGTTTATGTACAACACCCAATTAGAGGATCAAATTACACTGAGCTCTATCAGATAGAATTTATCTTAGGCTGAACTCTATCTGATAGAGTTTATCAAGTTAGTTGAATCCTATCACAATCCAGATAGAGATATGCGATGAACTTATCACAAGTTCATCGCATATCTGTTTGTACATCATCATCTGATGACGTGGCAATGGTATTATCCTCAATACGCCCCCTCAAACGAATGGCCATTGGGAGCACATGCAGCTTGTGCACTATGGCTGAAAAGTGAGGGGAAGCTAATGGTTTGGTGAAGATGTCAACCAGTTGACCCAACGACTGAATGTGATGAAGTTGGAGGGATTTCTTGAGAAGATGATCCTGTAAGAAGTGGAAATCGACCTCTATATGGCAAGCCCTTGCATGAAAGATCAGATGAGCAGCAAGATAACATGCTCCAACATTATCACAGTAAAGAGATGGAGCTGATGGGAATCAGATTTTGAGATCCATTAAGAGGGATTGTAACCAAATTAATTCATTAGTAGTAGTATTTGCAAGAGACCTGAATTCAACTTTTGTATTTGATCTGGCAACTATCTACAACTTCTTGGCACTCCATCTCACTAGATGAGAACCAAGATAAACACAATAGCCACCAGTAGACTGGTGTTCATTAGGGCATCCAGCCCAGTTAGCATCGGAGAAGACAATGAGACAAGTGGAGGATTGAGAAGAGAAGAATAAAGTGTGATCTAGAGTATGTTTAAGATATCGAAGAATACGCTTAATTGTTATCCAATGTTCGTCCGTGGGATTATGTAAGAACTAGCAAGCCTTGTTAACTACAAAACTGATGTCAGGATGAGTGAGATTGAGATACTGCAATCCTCCAACAATGCTCCTGTACTGAGATGGGTGAAAGAGAGGTGATCCATGAAGCCTAGAGAGTTTAGTACTCGCCGCCATAGGAGTGGAGAGAGGCTTCGCACCATCAAGGCCCGCATGATGAAGGAGATCAACGATGTACCGGCGCTGACAAAGATAAAGTCCAATGTGATTTCTGTGAGCTTCAATACCCAAGAAATAATGTAGGTCACCAATATCCTTAAGCTGAAACATTCRGCTCAGTTTGGTTATCACAGACTTAATAAGAGATGGTGAAGTCCTAGTGAGTATAACATCATCCACATATAATAACAAATATATACGATGAGCACCATGAGAGTAAATAAACAGAGAGGGATTACAACGAGTGGTACAAAACCCTAGTTCAACAAGCTTAGAGCTAAGGCGTGAGAACCAAGCTCGAGGAGCCTATCGAAGGCCATAGAGTGCCTTGAACAATTTGCACACATGAGTAGGGCAATCAGCATCCTCAAAACCCTTAGGTTGTCGCATATAGATATTCTCAGTGACAAGCCCATTAAGAAAAGTGTTGTCAAAGTCCAGTTGTCGAATGACCCACTAATGAGAAACTGCAAGAGAGAGAATAGTACGAATGGTGGTGGGTTTAACGACTGGACTAAAGGTGTCAGAAAAATCCACACATGGTATCTGAGTGAAACCCTAAGTAACAAGCCGGGCTTTATAGCGACCCATAGATCCATCAGGTTTTCTTTTGATCTTATACACCCACTTAGAGCCAACCACATTCATCGAAGGATGATATGGTACGAGATCCCAAGTCTTATTGTGAACAAGAGCCTGAAACTTTCTGGACATCGCATCACACCAATGACGATGTTTGGAGGCTTGGAAATAAGTACCAAGTTCATATTTAGTAGCAACAACAGATGCATTATAGCAAAGAGGAAGAGGGTACCGAGTGGCCAAAGAGGCCTCAGATCGCATGGACCGGGTAACCATAAAATGAGTGCGCCGAATAGGAGTAGGAACCGGTTGTGTGGAGTTCAAGATATCCTAAACCAACCAAGTCCGAGGTCGAGTTCGTGGAAGTTCATCTGAAGTAGAAACAAGTCCAGCACTTTCAATATCAGTGTTGTAGTTATCCAATCTAGGTGCATCGGTCTGGGAGATGTCTGAGACGAAGATGGAGCTGCAGGAGCAGATCCCCTTTGATGATTTATACAAACTGGAAGAAGTGTGACGCCATTAGAACCGGAACCTGGAGATGGTGTCGATTGTGGCAAGCCAGGAAACAACTCTTCATCAAAGATAACATGGCGGCAAATGTAGAGGTGACCTGTCTTGACATAATGACAGCGGTAACCCTTGTGAGAGGAATTGTACCCCAAAAATATGCAAAGAGAAGACCTATAATCCATTTTATGCCAATTGTATGGTCACAAAAAGGGGAACATGCACAGTCGAAAGTACGAAGCATAGAATAATCTGGTGTGTGTTGAAATAAAATTTCATATTGTGACTTGCCTTTGAGAGTCTGAGAAGGGATGCGGTTAATCAAGAAAATCATAGTTTTAGCTGCATCAAACCAAAAATTCTAGGGAAGAAAAGTGGACGCTAGTAAGGTGCGGGTGGACTCTATCACATGTCGATGCACCGGTTCAACAGTGCCATTCTGCTCACGAGTGTGAGGGCAAGCGAACTGGTGTTTGATGCCTTGTGAATCAAGATATTGTGAGAGTCATTGGTATTCCCCTCCCCAATCAAATTGAACAAATTTAATTTTTACATCAAATAAATTCTCAACATGTCGTTTAAACTTGAGAAAGATATCAAATACATCAGACTTTCCGCGCATAGGAAAAATCCAAGAAAATTTAGAAAAAGCATCAATGAATAACACACAATATTTAAAGCCATTATTGGACACAACCGGGGCTGGCCCCCATACATCTGAATAAATCAACTCTAATGGATGACTATAAGAAGAAGACGAAGCAAAGAGGAGAAGACGATGACTCTTTCTGATAAGAGAAAGACTCGAGTTGAATGAGAATGGTTCGATGGATGGTGAACCAATCGAACCTTGTGTATTTATAGATATAGAGTTAGAGTTTATGTACAACACATAATTAGAGGATCAGATTACACTGAGCTCTATCAGATAGAGTTTATCTAAGGCTGAACTCTATCTGATAGAGTTTATCAAGTTAGTTGAATCCTATCACAATCCAGATAGAGATATGTCACAAGTTCATCGCATATCTGTTTGTACATCATCATCTGATGGCGTGGCAGCATTTGATGTCGTGGCAATGGTATTATCCTCAATATTCTTATACCATACTAGTGTGGAATCTAAGGGTTTAAGCACTAACTCTAACTTCATTAGGCGATGGGAAGTGTTAGAACCTACATAAATCCCAACATTAAATCTCAGAACCTAAGGCCCCATTTGTTTCATGGGAATAGGGGTCTGGAACCGGAATCGGAATGATTCCAACTGTTTGGTTGGATGGAATCGAAATCCCATTCCCATTCCTGCTGGAATGGCATTCCCCCATTTGAGGGAATGGCCATTCCCTGCCCCTCCCTAGAGAATGAAATCTCATTCCTCCTGATTTCAATTCCCATTCCCATTCCTGTCTGAACCAAACAGACTATGGGAATGGGCCATTTTGATTCCGATTCCGGTGGATTTTAATTCCAATTCCGACTATGAACCAAACAGACTCTAAATTATTTTGGAATCTATTGTAATTCTTAACAACTTGTAGATTTAAGCACTAATTGTAATTAATTCCTCAAGTGTTAAAGATGATCAACGGTTGTGTTCTACCTTGGTTGAGGTGGCCACTACTTCAACTAGCCAACAACACCGGCCATTCACAAGAAAAATAAATAAAGAACCCATTATTCTTTATTCTTATGACCCAACAACAATTTCCCTACTATCCTATCTTACATAGCCTAGAATCCTCCCATTTTCTAGTAACCCAACGACAATTAACTTGTCATAATTGTGATACTTGCTCATAAGAACAACCCAACGTTTTCTACCTAGTCTTGGGTGGTATATGAGCACCTTGATGAACCCAAGTACTTATTTAGTAGGTCTTACAAATGTGTAAAAAGAAGCATGGTCTAAAGGGGTTAGAGTTGTCACCAACTAATTAGTAGTTGTTTCACCCTCAATTACTTTTAACAAAAAAGGAAGAGGATGAGCAAAAAAATAAAATAAAGAATAAATAAGGGGTATTAAGTTTAAACTTTCACTAAGGTTAAATCTACTTTATTCCAACAAAACCAATCATCTTAGATGATGGTTATAACCATCTGAGCCCTAAATGGTTTCTCTATAGCTAAGGTTAAATCTCCTATTTTATTCCTTATCATGCTCACCTACGTACCGAACAGTATTCAAGACTTGAATGTCAAAGCTTTCTAAATCCTTAACTTCATGCCATTAATAAGTAAGCAAGAGCAACAAAATTGTCTCTGTCTTTATTTTTGAAAGAAAATTGCTATGATATGATTCTAACTCTATTTGATTGTTTATTGTATTGCATTAATGGCTTGTAGCTTGTTTGAAGTCTTCAACTTAATGTTGATTGGCCATTGCTGAGTACTTGAGAACTTGATTATTTCAGATTTTTGTTGTTATTTGACATATTAATAGGTTGTTTGTTAATCATTTAATTTAATTTGTAGTTTAGGAATATGTCTTTTAATTATACCCTCCATTTTTTTCATTTTTTTTTATTTTTTCAAAAAACTATGTGCCTCATCCTGCGCCTTACGCCTTGCGCCTCAGTTGAAAAATGGCCCTTGTGCCTTTCGCTTATAAAACACTGATTCAAATAAAGGAAAATGGTTTCTCTCATAAGTTTGAATTCTAATACAAACTTTTAAATCTAGTTTAAAAAAAAAAAGGTAACTCATGACATCTATTAGGAGTGCCCTATAATGACACTGAACAGGATGAAATGACAAAACAAGATTCAGTTAACTGACCCCATATACTTGGAATGAGTATGATGGTGATCCAAACATCCCAAGAAAAAAACAAAGAACTAGACTTGATCAAGCTTCTTTAGGGAGCCCATGGCCATCTCATCTATGTCCCCTCAACCCTTAACCCTTAACCCCTAACCCATGGATTGAACTGGATCCCAGGTTCAGTCCCTTAACCCATACTTCAAATTAATGATTTTCCATTATAAACTATCCCTTATCTCATTATACCTCCAAAATCGCTTCCCTAGCAGTAAGCTTTTAACTCCTAGACATCCCCTAGATATAGGGCAACAGAGTTTATTCCTACTGACTAAGTTTTGAACTCCCCTTTCCAACCTTCCCATAAAAGGTCTCTCTTTTTGTTTCCGAGCAAATCTGGTACTCAAGTGGGGATAGGAAAGAGAAACATCATATCAGTAAGGATAAAAACCCAATACAAATTCTGTAGGAGGTTCTCCATTAGCTATTCAATGTCTACAAGTTTTGAGGTTCTACACAATTTGTAGACCATGTTTGAATAACACAGTTTTGGTGTAGAGATCCTTCTTGTGAGAATGGTGTCAAAGAAGTGTCTCTTTGGAGGAATATGGCTTTGAGGAGGAAGTGATGTTTTGGGGAAGATGGTTATTTCTTGGCTTTTTTTTTTTTGTTTATATTTCATTATTATCTCCCTAAATATTTAATGGAATTTTTTTTCATCTTTTCTGGTAGTTGGAGTCATGGAGTGGTTGTTATCCACATATTAAGTCCTACTAGGATTATTGAGTCAAATAGTTTGGCTCTTAGGACTATCTTCCTATGCCACAGGAAAGCAAAACTGACCCAATTTCAACTGTTGGTGTTGTATCTAGCTGAACTGGGCAGATTGGGTCTTATTTTCTGCTGAATCTATTCTCCTTTTTGAAATTAAAATCGATTCATATATTCATGAAATAATCGATTCATGCAGAATTGACCCACCCACAGGTTCAGCTAAATATGTGGATGGTGAGAAATGGGGATTTCTTAGGAAACTTCAGAGATTCAAAATGTAATTTAGCCTTTGACCCTGTGAGCATCAAAAAACGAGTTCACTTGGGTTAGAAATGAAGTCACCACCCATCAGTTAAGGAAATGGAGGTGATGGGACCTTTCATATTGATTTTCAAAAAATGTTTTTGTTTTAATAGTGATTCCAAAACCTAAGGCACTGGCTACACCAGTCTATATAAGACTCGGATGGGAGAGAAAAAGGGTTAAGTACCCCTCTCTCGGGTTCAATAGGTGGGGCCCACATAGAATTTTCAAACAATCATAAACATGTAATGGACAAATCTTTAAACAAAAAGATAATAAAGAAAAACAAACCACAAGAACAAGCCAACACAAAAGAGAAACCTCCCTGATTTTATTTATCTATTTTTTAATTTTATTATTTTTTATTTTTTTAGTTTTGTTATTGTTGTACTTTTGTTTTCTCCCTTTTCATTTATATCAACTATTTACAACACAATTAATCAACATATTTGATTGTTTACTAAATGACACTTAACCTGAATTAACACAAAATCAACACGATTAACCTATTTAAATTAAGCAATAAATAGATTTGAAATAAGAAAATAATCATCCGATCATTTATTACCTAAACAAATTCATAAAAACCATTCAATGTCATATTTACCTACTATAATAGCATTTCATACAAATATATACACGATCTAATATTTGAAACTTAAGATCATAAATAAGTCATATTCGAGTTAAGTGGATCAACTCAAAATTGATACATTTATTATTAAATGGGTTAACATGATTTTGGCATGAACATGATTAAGGTAAATTCAAACCTACTAATTTTGTATTGTGTTCATGTGTCATGTCAAATAATTTTTTTAATAAATAAAATTAAAATTAAAGAAAAAGAAAAGGAAGAAAAACAGTTGAACCCCCGAGATCAAGGGACTCTAGATCTCCTGCCCACAACACACTACCCTCCGTGAATTGGGAACATCTCCCCCTGCATAATACTATGCAGAGGTTGAGATGTTCTCCATGTGTAATTACAATAAACATGGGAAGAGTTTGTATGGGCAAGAGATCCGAACTCAGATCAAGGACCTGAAGCTAAAAACCAAAGGAACTCAAAAGAAACCTATACAACATCACTCCCAAACTAATCCGATCCTCTGCCCTGGCTCCAAAGGAAATCAAAACCTCCCACAAAAACTCAAGCGAGAAAAAACAAGCCTCACACCAAACTCTCTCAAGAACAATAAAAACCTGCGATCTGGAATCAAGCTTGGCTCCCCCTCTTCCTTTTCTGCCCCTACCCCTGGACGAGCTCTTTCCCCTCTAACATCTTTGTCCACCTTAACCACAAAGTTCACGTAGAAATCCGTTAGCCTTCTCAGCTTTTGGCTTCCAGGCAAAACCCCCAATATGTCATGTCAAATATTGCCAACCCTATGTAATATCCCCTAGGTTTTGTTGGTTCTCTCAGTCCCACTCATGCTTGCTGACTTCACAAGTTGTTGTATAGATTGAAACAAACTGCTCCATCATACCATCTCCAATTGTGTTTGGTTTGAATACATCACATTTTCCTCCCTTTAATTCATTTCCCTACATTTTCTTTTAAACCAAACTCAGCCTTATTTCATTATCACATAATCATTACAATTATGAGTTATGATGGGAAAAAAACAAATGAAGAAGTACGGACAGGCCTAATGCAGATTTCTGATTTCCACTGCAGAACTATAAAATATTCAAAAAGTCAAAAATTCCACACTCTATGCATCCATACTCGCCTATGAATTGACATCAATTCCAAGCTGACACCTACCCCAAATATACTTTGAGCCTATAAATTCTGAACCTGGGCTGAACCGTCATTCTCCCAAAAACTAACAAACACATTTTGTACTGAGATGTGTGGTATAAATCTTTCATCTCAGGATGAAAACCTATTTTGAGTTCTCAAAATGTGAGTCACGAATAAATAAAGTGGAGGAGGCATAGGTTAAACTTTCTTCAATTAAGGCCTTGTTTAAGTAAAACTTTGCCTATACCTATATTATTGACGTAATTGGTTTTGCTGCATCCAAATTGGGCATATGCCGAACTTGAAGATGGATCAAACAAAGCAGTTGATACCATTCTTTAAAACATCTTAGACCCCTCTCCTTAGAAAGGTGCGCTTGGTTCTTCAACCTCATTTAAGAAACCGTCATTGTTCAAACTAAGAGAAGGTTCATTATATATTGGGAAAATTCTTGACTAGTACCCTATACTTTGGGCCTAGTAGTGTCATTTAGGTCCTCAAACTTTAAAATATGCCAATCTAATACCTGTCGTTAACCAGCCGTTAAGTAGCATTTGTAAAGACACCAATGTCCTTTGAGTGTCATCTAATCTTCTTTATTAATCATCCAAATGTTGACAAAAATGAATAGTCTCAAATCCTTTTATCTTCTATTCAAGAAAGTTGGGTCACATCTCAGTGGGCATTCTGGTGACCCCAACTTTCTTGAATAGAAGAGACAAGGATTTTGGATTGTTAATTTTTTTCTAATGTTTTTATATGGTTGATAAAGAAAATTAAATGACACTTGAAGGGCATTTGTGTCTTTTCAAATGACATGCCACTTAACGGCTAGTTAACGACTAAATAACGATAGGTACTAAATTGGTATGTTTTAAAAGTTCGAATATTGGATTGTCGCATTTTAAAGTTCGAAAACCAAAGTGGCACTGTGCCCAAAGTGTAGGGTATTAATTGGGAATAAGTATCAATTCTTACTAATCGGTTTCATAATGAATGAACTTGAAACCACTGTATTTAGATATGAAGAATTGAAATCGAATCTTTACCACTAATAAATTTTAGGATTTCCATGGAAATTTGATTGAGAGAAGTAAGTTCTTTTAAGACCAATATGAAAATTACCTATTAATTGTAGATGAATACCCAGATTCCATTTGATTTTTTTTTTTTTTTGTTGAATGGGCCTAAAGGCCAAAATGCAATAATAATCAACTGTCTTGAATTATAGATCCTTCAAAGCAGGACAAATCCTCATAAATTAACTCTGAAATACAAGGGGGTGACACCATTCCAAAAGAAATGACCAGAAATACCCAATTTAACAAGAGAATGAGCCACCTGTTAAAGGATCTATTGATGTGGGTAACTAAGACAGATTCAAAAGAGGAAGAGAGAAGCCTCCTGCAATTTGCAACATACGCATGTATTGACCAAAGCGGGGAGGAAGACTCCTCCAACAGGGATTGGATAACTTCCAAGGCATCTCCCTCAAGGATGATATGACGAAAATTTAGAGAATGGACCAACTTATATAAGGCCAGTCAACAAGGCTTGAGCTTCTGCCAGAGGGGCATAGCAGGGAGCAATACAACAAGCCAAGCTCGGAATATGATGTCCCATGGAATCTCTACATACCACACCAATACCAATACCAGAAGCCAAATCTGAGACAACAACATCCACATTAACTTTAATGCATCCAACAGGAGGTGGGATCCATGACATAGCTGACCGAGAGGACTGAATTAGAGACATTGCATTCGAAATGATGCCTAGTGGATGGTTAGATTTTTATCAAAAACTAGTTTGTTACGAGCACATCACAACTGCCACATTATAGCCGCTACAATGATGAACGGAGACTCCATTTGATTAGGGTTCCATRATAATAGGTTTTGGATAGGTGAGATATGTTATTCTTAGGCCCTGTTTGTTTTTCAATAAATTACTTATTTAGGTAAATGCAGTTATCTGGGTGAGTTTTTCTTGAGAAACACTTACCTGGATAAATGCATTTACACAYGTCATTTTATTTCTTATGTAAATAAGGTAATGATCATTTTAGCCATAAAAAATTCATTATTAAAAAGGGCATTTTTGTCCCATTCAAGTGTTGGCAACTTTCCCCTCAGGTGWGAAAGTTATTTGCCTACCTAGGTAAGTAATACCTAGGAAAATAAACTTTCGCTAGTCCCCACAGAAATCTGAAAAAAAGAACATGCGATTTTGGTCAATGGGAACCAAAATCCTATTGATGAACTTTCCCCCTCTCAAAATCTTAAAAAAGAATGCCCCCTTAGAGTGATGGATACTCTTCGGAGTCCAATTCAGAAGGGTAATTAACTGTATACATGAAAGAGTTCCATTGGTAGTCTTCATCCCTGCCATAGAACATAGCATTTCTATTAGATAGAATGTTTCATTGCTCAGATGAGATCTTCCTTGCAATGAGGGATTTGGGCTAAAGAGGTAAAAAGCCAAGGGTATCATCTCAATTAACTTACAGTTTGCTTAAAAGGATATCATAAAAATCTCAATATAAATGAAAAATCTATGATGCGGGAAAGACATGGTATAGGAAGAGTTTTGACCAATCAAAATCCATTTTAATAAGTAACACTTGATTGGCTACCAAATTTATGCTTCTAGTTGACTGGTTAGAAGTTTTTCAGATATCATATATTTTTCATATCATAGTTGAACAAAATCTATGATGTGAAAAAGATATGGTATAGTAAGAGTTTTGACCAATCAAAACCCACCCAAGTCGAACCCATAAAGTAAAGAATAAAAGCACAAAATAAAAGAAAACATGAGGCTTAGTTTGGAAGGATTGAAGGAGTACAAATACAAATATATACAATATAAATCTTTGTATTGTATTTTGTATGTATTTACATTGTACATATGTATTTATACTTTTTCCAAACTAAGCCGAATTTACAAATTAATAATAGCCACAATGAAACTGCATACACATAAGCCTTCAATTAGGCAAATACATATGAGAACTAAAATTTCAACTTGGCAAATAATAATATGGTAGGCACAATTAAAGTGCACAAAAATAAGCATTCAAATGAGAGCTTCAATTTATTCTACGCCTATATCATTCATGTAAGCKAAAAATCCGATATTTGACATGAACGAATTAAATTTAGATAATTTAAATCGAATATTCAGTTGAATTCAAATATTTTTTTTAATAGAGAAAGAGTAATGGGGTAATAAACCTGACCCATCATCTTGTAGAAGAAAATTATTAGTGGTGGCAAATGGATGGATTGGGTTGGGTTAGGCAAGGGTTGAATACCAATCCACCCATATTGACCCACCAACCCACTATGACCCATCATCAATCATTGTTAAAGGGTCATAATCCACCCTAACCCTAACCCACTCATATTGACCCACTTGACCCATCCATATTGACCCTTAACCACCCTCACCCATACTAATTCACCTACCCTCACCTATAAATACAAAAATGGTTTGAGACAATACATATACTCGAAATAATAACTTTTGAGATAATAATTTCTCTCAAGACTACCACGTGACAAAAACGAGTCAGGTCAATCTGTATACCCAAAAATGCAAAAACTATAGATAAATGCAGAAAATTACAAAAAAAAATAGAACTTCTGTAGAAAAAAAATAAAAAAATATGCAAAACATACCAAAAAATTACAGAAAATGCATGAAAAACACCAAAAAATGCAAAAATTATGCATTAGCACCAAAAAATTGTAGAAATGTAGAAAAATACTAGAAACTTTCAAAAAATGTAGAAAAATAACAAAAAATTGCAAAAACTGCAGAAAATACCAAAATTACAAAAAATGTAGAAAATAGCTAAAGAAATGCAGAAATGCAAAAACTGCATTTTTATAAAAGTGCTTTCGTAAAAGTGCTTTCACAAAAGTACTTTTATAAAAGTACTTCTGTAAAAGTGCTTTCATAAAAGTACTTTTGTATGCTTTCATAAAGGTTCTTTCATAAAAGTTCATAAAAGTGCTTTTGTGTAAAAATACTTTTATAAAAGTGCTTTTATGCTTTCATAAAAGTACTTTCATAAAGTGTTTTCGTGTAAAAGTACTTTCGTAAAAGTACTTTTATAAAAATGCTTTCACAAAAGTGCTTTTGTATAAAAGTACTTTTATAAAAGTGTTTTCATGTAAAAATACTTCTATAAAAATGCTTTCACAAAAGTGCTTTTGTATAAAAGTACTTTTATAAAAGTGTTTTCATNCTTTTATAAAAGTGTTTTCATGTAAAAATACTTCTATAAAAATGCTTTCACAAAAGTGCTTTTGTATAAAAGTACTTTTATAAAAGTGTTTTCATATAAAAGTACTTTTATAAAAATTCTTTCACAAAAGTRCTTTTGTATAAAAATACTTTTACAAAAGTTCTTTCGTAAAAGTCATTTTCATAAAATTACTTTATAAAATTGTTTGTGTATGTTTTTGTGTAAAATTGCATGTGAACACGAAAATTAATAAAATCTATTTTATTTCACTTTTAATCTCAAAATGAAATGTGGCATGGTGGTTTGGAATTCTAGTGAGATATAAACACGTTAGGAGGTTTGAATTTGAGTCACTTTAACTGCTATTTTTTTAAGATTTGGCAAGTATAGATAAAGCTAACTTTGACCCAACCCATCTTAACCCTAATGGGTACCCTCAACCCAACCCACCCTGACCCTTTTCCACTGACCCTAATGGGTTTACTGAACCCATATTGACTTGCTAATAGATTGGGTGGGTATGGGTGGGTTCGGTGGGTCAAATGGGTTGGGGTCAAGATTGCTAGCCCTAGAGTACAGGCACCCATGGAGAGAAAAAAAAAAAAACACATTTTAGTAGTATAAATATTCAGTAAGAAATCTTAAATTGAGTACAAAGCAAACTTATGGGAAAGAATTCCTTGCATTTCTTGAGAAAATATTCATTTCGATTTCCCAACAGATCTTCTTCGGACCTTTGTTGCCCACAGTTCCATATTCTCTCTTACTTCCCAGATGCTGCTTTGTCTTTTCCAGTCCCATATTTCTTTCGTGGTTGAGTTCCTGCCACTTTGTTTATCTGAATTACCTGCATCCTTCCCCGCTACCTACATAAAGAAAATTTAGTCTTTATGGATATAAAGAACACCAATTAGGTCATCTTCAATTTACAACAATCATTATGCTGATTGTGAACCAAACTCATTAAAAAAGGGAACTTTATRCTACATGTTACTTTGATAATACTAGCAACCATAAAGCATACAAAACCAATCAGAGTGTATGCATTTACAGTGCCAAATACCAAGTAATTTCCATATAGAAGCATGAGAACCACTATCAAAATAACATTCTATGTGAAAGAGTTGAGCAAGAAAAGAAACATTGTGTCCAGTGTGATTCCTCGAGAAATAAAAAGTATCAATAGTGGAAGAGGTGAGGAAAGAAGAAAGGGTGCAATCATGGTTCTCACTACTGAACTCCTTTTTCAGGGACATACCCCATAACCTTTATTTGGATATATCTTTTGGACAAAGACGAATACATAAGAGTTTAGTTGGGTAAGTATTTACCACCAAATAAGCTAACTGTGCATGGGGCATATTGTTACTTTTACATTTTAATCACATGTCAGTTTACTTAGTGCAACTTATACCATGATCATCTAGAAACACAGTGGAAACCAAAGGGATGGGCAGCAGATAAAGCAATATATATGAAACAGCTGCATTGAAGACCCTGCGTATAAGCAGTACAGATCCTTCTCTCAAATTAAGAAACATATGAAGTGTACATATTCCTCGGTTAATGAAATTTGATTTATTAAACTTGTACATTTAACCAACCTAAAATGACATAGTTGTGAATACTTAGGAGTATTTCAAGATGAAGTGTAATCAAATTGTGGAGTTCCCAGTATACAATCCAAGAGGAAGGAATCAATAGCTGACTTACAAGTTCTGGACCTTCAACACATAAAAGTAGAGGTTGATTCACAACGAAAAGTGCTACTTCAATATCAATAAAACCAGCTTCCACCATTCTCCTTAGTGCTCTAGCTTGAGAGCTCTTCCCTCTTTAAGAAAGTCAAATTTAAAATGTTAGAATTTGCAGGGCAGCCTGTTAACAGCATACCAAAAGATAACTGAACTTGAAGTGAGAAACATGAGATACATTGCAGGAATTCATCAAACAAAATAAACAAAATAAACAAAAAAATAAAAACAAGGTACAAAATCAGCAAGGATCTCAAAGACCTGCTCGGGTCCCTCAGTGGTGACCGGGCCTCAGGTGAAGGTATAATCCCAGCAAGCATTGCAGATTCTCCCAATCTAAGAAGGGATGGGTGCTTCCCAAAATAGAAAGCAGATGCTGATTCAATTCCATAAATACCATGTCCCCAGTATATCTGCATTTATTCCCTCATAAGATTTCCACTAAATGAAGGCAAATCTGATAACAGAACTCCGTAAGAGATCAAGAGCTACATACCTAGGAAATGGAAATCATAAAATGATGAACCATTTGAACCAAATTGAATAGAAACTTACAAATTTTAAGATTTTTAAAGTGAAAAGATAAATATTACCATAAGAGTCCTCTTATCTTTGGTAGCAAACTTCTCATGGCTGCTTCATCAGCTAGATATCAAGAATGCTTTCTTGGATAGAGATCTAGAAGATGAAGTATATATAGTTGAGCTAAAATAGGTTTTCAACATGAAGGTAGCAAAGGGAAAGTATGCAGCTTAAAAAACGCACTACATGATCTAAAATAGTCTCCCAATGTCAAGCTAATTACACCCTATCAAGGAGCAAGGTCAGATTGCCACCTTGATTAGTTGATAGTGTACATGGATAATATAGTCATTACAAGGAACTAGAAATCTAAAATTTGGAAGTTTAAGGAGTTCTTTGCATCTCAGTTTGAAGTGAAAGATCTAGGGCCTCTAAAGTACTTTTTAGGGATTGAGATTGCTATGTGTTATAAGAACATCTCCATTTTCCAAAGGAAGTATCTTCTTAGGGATAGAGTTTCTTTTTCCTGGTATTTTAGGGATAGAGATAGAGAGATTTAGGGGGTCCAACCCAACTACATATGCCTATGTACCTCAATCATAGACTTGGGGAGAACGGCAGAGAGGTTTCCAAATGCTAAGCAGTTCCAAAGACTTTGGAAGACTCTTAAATCCATCTATTTGACAACTTGATATTGCATACGTTGCAATATCAAGTTGCAGCATACTTTGCTACAACTAAACATGCTCTCAAATACTTGCAATAAACGTCTTAGAAGAGGAATCCTTTTCTCTAACCATGGCCATCTTAGAGTGATGCATATGCAAAAGCTGATTGGGCCAATTCTGTTGATGACCATAGGTCTACCACAAGTTATTTCAAATTTGTGGGTAGAAACATGGTAGCATGGACAAGTAAGAAACAAGTAGTAGTGGCTAGGTCAAAGTATTGAGGCAGAATATTGTTCCATGACACATGAAGTAGCTAAATCTTTGTAGATAAGAAACTTGCTAACCGAATTAGGTTTTCCTGTGTCCAGCTCTATACCTCTTTATTGTGACAATAAGGAAGAAATAAAATAAATATAACTGACAACCCAGTTCAGCATGACAAAGCCAAATATAGTTAGATTGATAGAGGTGGAAAAAGGCAAAATCTGCCTTTCATTTGCCTGTTCTAAGGAACAATTAGCTAATCTATGTACTAACTGTGTTTAGCCTGTGCTATAGTGAAGTAACAAGTTGGTATGTTTGATACATATGACCTAACTTGAGAGTTATGATTCTTTATTTATTGGGTGCAAGGGAAATAATGCCATTTAAAATGTTTTTCTTCAAATTAAATAAAAAACAGAATAAAACAAGAGGGAAAACTAGTAGAAATCTTCCCTAGAGATCTCAGCCTGAAATAGAGAGTAGAGAGAAATATGAGAAGAACTAGGGCTAAAAGTAGAGATCAAGAGTCTGACTCGTCTCTCTAAAAGCCACCCACTTTTATTGATTTGATAACAAATAACAAATGGCAGCTTTATCCCTAACTAAGAAGAGAGAAATAACATAACATAATATGAAATTCCAATTGTACCCTTGGAGTGGAAGGATTTTCAATGAGAAGAGCCGATCCAAAATGGAAGTCTTGGACACAATAAAAAAAAAAGTTGTGCATATTGGGTGAAGAATTTGGAAAACTTTAAAGTCTTCTCATTGAATGACATTTTGAGAAACTGGAAGTGGCACTTTCAGCTCAAGTAAAGGAAAGAATAACCATGGATTGGAGACCTCTAGCGACCAACTCTATAAAGCTTAGCTTTGATGGAAGTTTTATAGGCAACCGAAGTGTGGCTGGGTTAGGAGGGGTTTTCCGTGATTCAGAGGACAAGGTACTACTAGCTTTACTTTCAGGACCTGTTGAGCATAGTGATTCGTTGACAATAGAGTTATTGACCATGCTCCAATGCGTAATGTTTGCAAAGCAGCTTGGGTTCCATCAGTTGGAGGTGGAAGGGGACTCTCAAGTGGTCATTTCCAGGACAAGATGTAATACCCAAATCCCTTGGATCTATAGACACACCTTTCAGGAGATTGAAAGTATAACAAGGGAACTAACTGTCACCTTTAAATGGGTGAGGAGAACTGATAATGGGATGGAAAATACTCTAGCTAAACAAGGGGCTTTTAGATATCAAATGTTTTGGGAAAAATTGTTATCTTTTGATTGTTTAGGGTGGAGAAGTTTTCCACCTTGATGTATCTTAAAAATTTCCTCAATAAAATTTATTTTTTAAAAGGGGTTGATAACACAAATTTATAGTTTTCTTCCCCTATCACTGAAGGAGACAAAGGCCATAAAATTTGTTTCTCACCCCTTTTACATGAAATAAATGCAGCATTAGTTTCAAGTGCTTAGACAATCAATGTTAGTGATATAATCAGAGAGAAGAGTATATATAAAGAAGATTCATGCACAATATGTGAACTCAAACTAGGCAACAAGAACATGTATAGTAATGTCAGTTCAGGAGTCCACTAAAGAGAGGCATATAGCATAAATTGACCAGATTGGGAAGCAAAAAGAGATGCATCCTACTATTATATCTTTCTAAGGACTTGCAATTTTTTTCCTAATCTTCACCTAAAGATATTATGCAATTATATTATTAAAATAAATGATATAATATAGGGAAGAAACACCTTAACTGCCTAACTTAAACCCACCCCCAAAATCACAACAGTTTTCCTTGATTTCAACAATGCCTATGCAATAAACTAGTCATCAAGAAACAAAAGGATTATGAAAGCCACTTGAAGAAGCAATGCTATTGACTCATAAAACAACTTATTGCACAATAAAAAAAGAAGCTTTTTTCCACTTGAACATAGAAGATAAATGGATAAAGAGTGTTTAGTTAGATTCCATGTCACATGCTGTTGATAAAGAAGCATAAAGAACTAGAAAAAAGACAATAAAGCACAGTACTGACACCTGCCCCACCTGGAAAACATACAACAGAAGTTCTAGAAAATCACCATGTAAAACAAAGTAGAGACTGCATGAACTCAAGTTATGTACAGAAATATAACTATACCTTACTCAGATAGGAGTTCAGTATCTTCCATTTTGACATTTTCCTCTCCAGTATAAGTGCCAGAATAACCTCAATGATTTTTCTTGCTAATGTACGTTCATTTTTCAATAATGTATTCTTCACGAGCTGTCAAACAAAATTAAGCAAAGGACGTCACATTAGAAAGACTTGAGACTATGAAGCAATCGGAACTAATTAGACTACAACAAAGGATATCAAGGATTTCAAAGAAAAGAAGAGCCTTGAAATGAAATAAAGCAAAACCTCATGTACCTAGAAGTTGAACATATGTGATTGTTTCAAAGAATGTGATCATCAACTTAATTAAGAACATGAAACAAGAAGTCTTGGACAACAATGCAAATGGTGGTACAACCAACTGGTTTACTAGTTTTATGCATTAGCTTTGACGGATAGTAGTTCAGATCGTGGTCACCTTATAGGAAGATGTTTAAGTTTGGCTAATAGACAAGTCATGCACAAGATAAGAAGAGCAATTACCTACTCATTAAGCATCAGTTAGCATTGAATGTTTGAACTTCTCAATCTTTTTTTTTTCTCTTTTTTGAGAAAAGTTAAAGTATTGTATTACATTTTTCCCTGTAAAGATCATATTTACATGTATAGAACATGTTTACATCATGTACAGCCAGGAATATACATCTATAAGGAGAGCTGCTAAAAGAACAAGATGCATGCTGTCCCATCATTAAAAGCAAGAAAAAAGAACAAGATGGGTATTTAGAGTCCTTAATATCTAATTCAGAATGCATGGCATCAAAGGTACATAGAAGCAAAGGCAAGTATCAGGCTATCAGCATTACATAGTGAAGATAAGTTAGTTATTATTTAACAAGCTGAACCAAGTTCTGTATGAGTCACAGCTTTAGCATGTCTATTTTTGTTGGATAAAGTTGACTCTTACTCAAAACAAGCTTTCAGCATGGCAAGTAGATGATTCTTGTGCAAGAAGTGGACAACAATCACAAACTTGTTAAGCATCAGTCGGTTTAAAAAATATAGTGCCCATTTGGAAAGGCTTTCACACAGTGGCTTCTGGTGTTACATGAGCTGAGAAACCAGGAATGCTGCGAAGCCATGTTTGTGAAAATCTGGAAAGTCAGAAATAGGCTTACAGAAGCCACAAAATTGACTTTCCGGTGAAGCTATTCTCTGAAGCAGCTCAGTCAACACATCTCAATCAACACAGAAGCCCTCCCAAATGGGATCTCAGAGATCTACTTCTCTTCCTTTAAGAAAAACTATTTCAACTTCAACTAACCTGATATTTAAGGGGTTTCATGCATGGACAACAATTTCAGGTCGAATGTGTAAAGCATTTGCCTTGCTTGCAGTTATTCCATTTCTAGTTTGCTGATAAAGTTGTAAGGAATGAAGCATAAGAATCTTCTTTATGGGAAGAGATACCCTTCACATTGTCTGCAGATTGGCTTCTTATTTTCTTGATTGGGTTTTCATTTTGAAATATTCTGAAGGCTTTGATAGATAAGATCTTGGAAGGAACATAAAACTTAGAGATTGTTGATGTCCATATAGTTGGGATATGGCACTGTTCTACTGTGCATCATTAGTTGGATATGGCACTGAACAGAACGGAATGGAAAAACAGGATTCATGTAGCCAACCCCATATAGTTGGGACAAAGCTGAGATGATGATTATGATGTGATGAAGGTGAGATTGTTGATAACACGGTACAAAGAACCCTCAGTAAATAGGGACATGTCACAATGTTCTACTGTGCATCATTAGTTGTTAATAAAATTGAGTTATTTATCAAGAAAGACTATTATCTAATTATCACTTATCTAGCATTTACCCTTCCATGAATTTGTATGTCAATGATAGCATTGTTTTGCTAGTGCATAAATAGAGGGTAGTATGGGTTCAACCTGAAATGGAATATCAAGTTAAAGAAAAAATGAGAAAACCTTAAGCGACTCCACTACWTTCCTGCAGTAAAGGTCTCCACTTACATTTCAAAGTGTGCAATTCATGGTCAAGTTTCTGATTCCACAACCCCACAACCATTATTCAGATTTTCTGGACATTTGCAACCAATCTCCATTACCTACTTTTTCTCAAAAAAGAATACAAATAAAGGACAAAAAGTTTAAAATACCCTGAATAATTGAAAAAATAATGCCTGACAATTTAATCTTAGTGTCAAAATCCAAAACAGCCAGTATTATCAACATCCATAATATCCCATCTTTGTGAGGTCTGTGAATTATATTGCACCTGCAACTGGTATTATGCCACTCCTCGTGGGGAAGAGGTTATATATTGGGATCCTATATCAGTTACAGTGCTTTTGGCTGGAGTTACTGTTGAGGGGCAGATGACAGTTAACCCATGGGGCCAAGAGTGTTTTGATTAGAACTGCTAGGTTACCTTGCCTTTCATTTATTAATAGCTAGAGGAAGTTAAGATGATACATTTCTATTAAAATGTGTTGCCTCCATGGTATAAAGCAAATTACAGATATGTTCTAAAGTAGGACATGTTAGGGAACCTTGGGAATTTGGCTGGTCTAGTCAGGAGTAGAATTAGGATTTCAATGTCTGARACTAAGTTTACTTGGATTTAATTTCAGAAATAAGGTTATAAAAACCTGAAAATGGGTACCTGAAAAACCTGGTAGGAATGATTAAAAACTTTGATTGGAAGAGTGGAGACTTCTGATCAGCATTCTCCATTTCCAGCTCTCCAAGTCTTACCTCTGCTTTTTAATCCTAGTTTCTTCCCCTCTCCCTCACTCCCTCCCTCCCTCTTCTTCCGGCCTTCCAGAGAATGGGTACATTGACCTATAATGTAACAGCCATCCAAGTAGGTTGGTCTAAGATTTTAAATGAGTTAAGAAAAGACTTTCTGCTAGCCCCAAGGTTAGGGTTAATGGATCATAATACAAGGGTTGAAGTTGAACATGGACTGCTGGATAATAAGAAAAACCAAAAAAAAAAGAGATTCTGTTACATAATCAATAATTAAAGAAATTATGCTTGTGTTAATTTATGAAACTAACTTATTCTTTAACAAGACTTAGAATAAAACTAATCACAAATAAGTGTAGTGCATCACCCAAAGTGACCATGCTAGGCATCACATAAAGCAGTATAGTACAAAAGCTTCAAAGATAGTCCAAATTTCAGAAATACATGACTTGTGTGGCATGATGATATGAAATATGTTGGTCCATTCTGCAAACTATTGGGATGAATGATCAACAAAGCCTTACAATTAATTGTTGTACACCAGATTAAAGCTAAAAGGTATTTTATTAATCAGAAACGAAGAATAACATTTATGAAATTAAGAAACACAAATTACATAAATGTAATAGGATGGTCAGCCTGACTAATGCAGCCCAAGTCTTTCACCTGGTCAGTCTGAGATGCAAGACGCACCAAGCATGCACCTAGTCACACTAGGCATGAACATTTTGAGAGGAGCTGAACCTGGATTCTGGCAAGGAACATGCCTTGGAATGTGCTTCGCCTGTGCAGTAGGGTGCATTTTAAAACACTGGTCCAAATTGTGTGATCTTGGACTCACTGGATGCAACAAAATAAAGGTTTATTACCCAATGTTGGTCTGGATATCCAGGATCTTGGGAGGGGTGGACTGGATATGGACCCAAGCTCAAAGTGGCCACTCTTTGACTTGATCCAAGCATCCTAATGCTTTGGAAACAGAGATTGTACCATCTCGCAAAGCAATACACCCTTATCAATACCAAGCAATAGCTCAGTGTAAGATCAACTGTCTCTAGTATCAAAATGATGCAGGATAAACCTGGAAACAAACCTAGGAATCAACACCTCATAGCTTTCTAAGAGATCAGCAGAATCAAGAAAATTATAATCACTTGAACATTAGAAGCAGAAAACTCCAACTTATAACCAATGACAGGAGGGTATGACAGGATTTGTGTAGCCAACTCCAAATAGTCCGGACTAAGGCTGACTTGACAAATGAGTTTAGTTGAGTTGAGTAGTCTTCAATTTCTTTGAATTCTCATTTTAATTTTGTCTTTATCTATATCTATTCAGCTCTAGTAACCAGTATATATACCACAACTACTCTAAATTGAGGCACTAGTTATTTTGGTTCTTCAACTTGTTTGTTGACTTCATTTTCTCTTAGATCTTCTCCTCAGGAACATTACAGGATGGATTATGTCACACATCCTTCGACCTTTTTTCGTTTTTTGTCCACCACATCTTTCAGTATGAAACTATGAATTACACAATTGCAATTGAATGACAAATGATATATATTCTTCTAACAAGTTTGAGTATTTTTCTAATGATGGCATCTCCTATCTTGAAGAAGATGCCAATTCATCATGCCTTCTCAGAGAAATTAAGATGGAATTCATTACCAGTTCTCCTATGCACATAACCCTCATTAACCTTGTCATCTTCTTCAAGCCTCCTCAAAAATCAAAGTACATCGAAGTTCCAATCAAATTAAAAAAGAAAAAAAAAAAAAAAGAAAACCAATACTCAGTTCTCATCAGCTGGAAGGCATCACCAGACAGTAACTAAAGGCCCAAAACTTAAATGTTCCAGCTTGAAATTTGGCTTTTAATTCAAACAACAAAATTAAGTAAAAAGAAAAGTATCCAACAGGACGTCTTGCTCTTTTAAACTCAGGGATGTTAAAATTTCAGTTAAGTGCAAACATAATTAAAAAAAAAAAAAAAGGAGAAAAAGCACCAACAAGAATCACATCATCTTGTATATCCTGATACGGAAAAGGCAAAACCACGCAAGATTATCCACATTGCAGTTTTTACGCTCGCTCAAAAAAGAAACCCATCTTCTGTAAGTTCTTATTCATTAACAGAAAACCAAAGTCCATTTATGAAGAACATTTGTTTATCTGGAAGTTATCACCTGGAACCAAAAACTGTAATTGCAATAGGAAAGGCAAGTCCACCATGCAAGCTCATTGTGGGTTAACTTCAAACACAATGTAATTTCTGTCGAAATACAAAGCAACAAATATAGCTAAGATTTATCGATTTCTCGAAACATTCATGTAATTAGTTGCCTCTCTAGCAAACATTTAAAATGCACTTCTGCATCCTCCAATTTGCATCTTAAAAATAGAAATAGAACTGGGGAAGAGGAATTCACCTGTTGAGTGATGGTGCTTCCACCTCCGCTAGCAGACAATGACAACACAGCACGAGCAATCCCAACAGGATCAATTCCACAATGCCGGAAGAATCGACGATCCTCATAAGCCACAACGGCTTGCCACAAATGTGAAGGATAATTGCTGGCCCTGGCATCCATCTCCTCCGAAAAAACAATGAGGCGATGCCACCGCTGGGGGAAATCAGGCGGGAGGATAGATAAGAGGATGTGAATGCAGAGAAGGATCATAAARAATGCAAAAAGAATGACTGCTTCCAAAACTAAACGTCTCTTCGGTTGTCTCAGGGGAGAGCTCCATGGGTGGAACGAGTGAACCCGTGTCTCAACCCAGTTCCGGCTCGCAAGAGGCTTTGATTGGAGAAAAGAATTTGAGAAGTTGGGTGAGGGAATCGAGTGTCTGTCGGAATGTTTTGGGGAGGAGGTGTTTCTGAAGTGAAACCTTGACTTACTGTTGCTGAGCATCGGACGATGCACCATACGCAAGGCCATGATGACTCAATTGACTGATGGCTCAACAGTAGTCTGGGCTGGAGTGCTGGACGGCTTGGCCGCTTACATGCATTAGAGACAAGGCTATTAATGCTTGCTCACAGGGGTAGAATAGATGAGCATTGAAAAAAGAAAAAAAAAAGAACTTCTAAACATAAAAAGGATGTCAGAGATCCAAAGCACATCAAGCTGAGATTAGTGAAAAGATGATTTAAGAAAATTAGGACATTACTGTTGTATGAGCAGCTTCACAGTCTGAACATTAAGCAATGCATTAGCCTATACAACGCGGCTTAGGGGCTGTCTTGAGCAGGGAGCCCCAGATGCTTGYTTATTTCACTGTTAAGGCTGTGCCCACACCGTTCTAACGGGCTTTGCCCTGACTAAAGCCGAACTCGGCAGAGAGCCCCAGATTCTTGTTTATTTTGTGATAGACAGAACACAAATTCAACTTAATTTCGAGTGTTGAGGTTGGGGCAGAGAACCCCAGATAAGATCATTTTGAGTTGAAGATTATCGGGTACTTTCTGATTGGATGAATATAACTTTTATCCATTAAATAAACCAAGAAGAGTACATGAGACTGAAGTCACTGAGCTAATTCTTAGTATATTGAAACAAGAATTATTTACAATCAAAAACCCACATGCTCTGTGAAGTGATTGGAATACAGATGCTGGAAATATGTCTAGGACAAAAGGGAACAAGATGATGTCCCAAAAGAAGCTTGATTTTTAGCTTGTCTCCTCTCCTACAGCCAAGAAACCTCCTATACAGAATCCTCTGAAACAATTAAACGGAAATCTATGGAAAGACCCATTAGACTTTGAGATATAATCACCACACTCACTGTTCACCAGAGCTATCTTGGACCAGAGACTTGCTGTGATGACAGGTTAGAAAAAGAGGCGTGTGAGCCACTGGTTGTACTTGTTTGTGGATAAAGCATGAAGTCGAACACTGCATTAAATCCCTGCATCCTTGAGCCCTCGGCAACCCGTCGGCCATAGAATCGCAAGAAATTCAGTGACTCGAGCCTTGGTTCACCCAATGGGATCCCACCTTCCAGCATGCTCACCACGTTCACCATGCTCGGCCTCAGAGCTGGCTCCTCATGCAAACAACACAAGGCCACACGCACAAGCTTCTCCACCTCTTCACCTGTCACTCGCCCCTGAAGCCTCGGGTCTGCAAGCTCCAAATACCTTCCTTCTTCATGCATCCCCAGTGCAAATAATGGAAAATAAACCGACCCAATTGCAGATGATGATGAAGATGACARACCACTGACATTGTCATTCTCAATGCTAGAAGAACTCCTTGTTCTCAATAAACAATTCCTCCTTCCCCTCACAATTTCAAGCAGAACCATGCCATAACTATACACATCAGTCTTGTCAGAGATTGCAGTGCCAGTAAGCCACTCAGGAGCAAGATATCCGCGTGTCCCTCTCATTGTAGTGAAGAGACTGGACTGATCAGAGGTCAGAAGCTTGGAAAGTCCAAAATCAGATATCTTTACCTGGAACTGATCGTGCAAGAGAATGTTCCCTGGCTTTACATCACAGTGGATGATCTTGTGATCACATCCACTGTGCAAGTATGCAAGGCCCCGTGCCGTTCCGAGTGCTATATCAGCCCTCTCATGCCATTCCAGCACAGGTCCATTGCCAAAGAGAATCCTGTCCAGAGAGCCACGGTTCATGTACTCATAAACCAGAAGCCGCTGCCTTCCTTGGGCACAGAAGCCTCTCAGTCTCACCAAGTTGACGTGGTGAATGTTTCCAATTATAGCAATTTCTGTGCAGAATTCTTTCTTCCCTTGGACGCTTAAATTGTTTATCTTCTTCACGGCAACGAGGGTCCCATCAGGCAAGGTACCCTTATAAACAGCTCCAAATCCGCCAGCTCCAATATGTTCACTGAAATTATTAGTTGCTGCCTCAATCTCTTCGTAAGAGAATCTCACAGGTAAGCCTGGGATTGAAAATGCTTCAAGCTCTTCTTCGGAAGAGAGAGAATCCAAGCTGCCTATTTTCATTAAAGAAGTTTTGGTGAGCGAGCGTCTTCTCCACCAAAGAAAGCACAGAACCAGAAGCGTCACCAACAGAAAGAACCCAGTTGCAGGCAAGAGAACCAGTGCGACCAATGGAAGCTCTTGCCTCTGACTGTCAAAGAGGGTTTTCTCATCTGGGTTTGTCGACAAGGATCCGACCAGTGTCTTAATGTAACCCAATCGATCTGTGTCGCCCTCAGTATTCGACATAAGGGACCCCAAAAGGTCGTTGATCAAATAACAGGAATAAGAAGAATTGTCATAGAATAGGCCCAAGCAAGAACAGCTTTTGGTGCAGAGATCTTGACAAGCCGTTAAATTTAGTCCATAAGCTGCTGGCTTCACGAAATTATTGGCGAAGTAGTCTATACCTACGCCGAGCATCTTATACAAAACAGTCGACGAATTGGATTGAATGGTGTTTCCATTGTCCGTTGAGTTACAGGCARAAGGGAGAGTAAGATAACTCTCTGCAGGCAAGCATGGTTGGTTATGTGAGTCGGAGCGAAAGCCAGGCGGACATGAACATCTACCTGTACTCAATTCAGAGTTTTCTGTACACAGGCCATTTCTATTGCAGGCGAATGGAATTTGACAGAACTCCGGCGCTACAAGTTCCTTCCTCCACCCAGTACTAGTACTGGAGTAACTCTGCACAATAAAATAGCCTCCATAATCCAACTTTGCAATCTGAAAATCTGCCTGAGAAAGGCCAACCTGAACCACAACAACCTGTCCATCGCTGCTGAACAGGTAAAGACCGGTGTTGTTCATCATCATATAAGCTGCCGCAGAATTGGAATTAGTATACGCGTTTGGATCCATGGACAGTTTCCAATACGTTAGGCCATTCCATTGCAGTAACCCATCAGTATCTGTTATTATAAACCGGTAATATGCCGTCGACAAGTCATCATCCGATGCTGGGCTGGACAGCGAAGCGCCGACTGGGAAGCGTTGTCCGGTGACTAACGTATCAGTGGGATAATCAAAACTCTGCCAAAGAGGGTTGTTAGATTGATCAAGTAAAACGAGGTTACCGGTCTCTAGAAGCTGCAACGCGGTGACTAGTGACTTCAGCGGCGGCGTTGACCATTTTTGAGTGCCGTCATCTCTAACGACGCTGAGTCCATTGACAGTTAGGTTCAGTACACCGGTATTGGAGATGGGGGAGTCGCGATTGGCTGACCAGATGATGGTGTTGGATGCTGTGTGGAGGACGCATAAGTAGAAGCGTGTCCGTTGTCCTTCTGGGTTGTAGATGGCAGCTGCAAAAGTTCCATTGCGAGAGACCAAGAAAGTGCCGCTGCTATCGACAAAATGAAGATTTGAAGCTGTGAAGTTTGGGTAGATGAAAACTGAGTTGACGGGGCCGGAGAATGAGAGATCGGGGAGAAATGCGGAGGTTAAGAGGAGGATGGCAATGGATAGAAAGATGGATTCCATGCAGAGAGAGAGAGAGAGGCGATGGATGGAAGAGGAGATATGGCTGAAGGTGGTTAGCCTTGTTTTTGCTTTGAAGGCATGAATTTTGGTTGTGCCGCAGTTTTGTTGACCGGGGAAGCTATCCACCGACTTGACGTCGGTTTAGTGAACCCGGGAGAGGTTGATTGCGGGACAGCAGTAGAGGAGTTAGGGATTAGAATGATTCGGGTAGAACCGAAAAACCCGAAAATCAAAACATAATTCGGTTTCGGTTTTTCGGTTCGGTAATTTGGGTTATAGGGAATTTCGGTTAAGTTAATACGATATCTTGGTTAATTCAATTTCGATTTTGGCTTTCAGATTAAAATTCAGTTAACCGAAAATTTCATTATATGTTATATAATAAATACTATATAACATTATATAACTTTTATTATATATTAATACAATAGGGCTGCTCTCTCCGTGCAGGAAAAGGAATTTATTCGTGCGAGTGTAAGAGCAATTTAATTAATGTAATTTAATTAATGGAATCTATTGATTATTATATTAATTAATTTCTATAATTTAATAATTACTTATTATTACAGTAATTTAATAAATATATAATTAGTAATTATAATTAATAATTACTGCTATTATAAATATTGTTAATAACTAGATATTTACTTTAAAATTATAAATACTATTAAATTACTTATTATTACAGTAATTTAATAAATATAAAATTAGTGATTATAATTAATAATTATTGTTATTATAAATATTGTTAATAAATGGATATTTACTTTAGTTTTACTTTAAATTAAAATTATAAATATTGTTATTAATAAATTTAGTAATTATTGTTATATTAAAAAGAATTTAAAATGTTATTAAAAGTATTGTTATTGATTATTTAATAAAATACTATAATTACTGACTATTACTGATAAATAATGTTAATTTAATTTAATTTTGGTAATTATTAATTTAATGAATATTTATTGTTATATTAAAAATAACTAGATAATATTATTAAAACTATCACTAATGATTATTTAATTAAATACTATAATTACTTACTATTATTGATAATTGTTGCTAATAATGTTTTGACAACCGATGGTWCTACTGTCCGATTCAAACAGATGACCCATTTTGACAACAAAAATTATGACACCGTTCTGGCCACTAGTTTTCAGGTTGATGGTTTGATCATCTCGTTCGAATGGACGGTTTATTCTAACAACAAAAATTATAGGCAAAAAATTTGAGTTTGTGAGGTCCATTAAGTAGTATCATATGTGTTATGTCATTCGAGCGTGTGAGTCATACGACCTGAAAATAGAACCGTTCTGGCAACCGGTTTTTGGGTCGACGGTTTGACCATTCAGTTCGAACAGACAGCCCGTTCTGGAAACAAAAAATTACAAGCAAAAAATTATTGAGTCATTATGGCCACCGATTTTTGGGTTGACGGTTCAATCATCCAATTCAAACGGACAACCCATTCTGACAACAAAAATTACAAGCAAAAAATTGAGTGTGTGAAGTCCATTAAGCAGTATCATACGTATTATGTCATTTGAGTGTGTAACTCATACGATCCAAAAATGGAATCGTTTTGGCCATCGGTTTTCGGGTTGACAGTTCGACCGTCGGTTTCAAATGGGCGGCCCGTTCTAACAACAAAAATAAAAAAATAAAAAAATGGCCAAAAACTAATGAACGGGTCAACGGGTTAATGATTCAACCACTCGAGTCAATGGGTTGTTGACCGATTCAACGATTTTTGGCCAGGGACTAAGATTGGGGTAAAATGGAACTGGTTTCCTAGACGGTTYCCAATTAAAAAATCAAAAAACAAATGACCCGTTTTGACAAAAAAAAGTACAGGCAAAAAATTGAGTGTGTGAGGTCCACTAAGCAATACCATTCATGTTACATCATTCGAACATGTGACTCATACGACCTGAAAATGGAACCGTTCTGGCCATCGGTTTTTGGGTTGACGGTTCAACTGTTCGGTTCAAATGGATAGCCCGTTCTAACAACAAAAAATAAAAAATAAATAAAAAAAATGACCAAAAACCATTGAATGGGTCAATGGTTCAACCGCCTGGGTCAATGGGTTGTTGACTGATTCAATAGATCAACGGTTCGACCATTCAAGTCAATGAGTTGTTGACCGATTCAACAGTTGTTGACTAGGGACCGAGTCAACRGATCAATAGGTCGATGGTTCCATTCCAGGCCCCAAATAATATTATAATAAAAAAAGTGACCAATTAAGTGATATTCATCAAAATTCATAGGGTGCTTTCATTGATSAAAGCTCTTCCAATATTATGTCTTTCTAGTATCATAAATTTTCCCTTATAATAAATATACAATAAATTATATATTAATATATTCAATATATAATAAAATTAAAGTTTAAATGAAAATGCAATCAAATTTTCCAATTTGGTTATTAATTTCCGTTTTAACTTATTTAATTTTCTCATCTTAAGCATTCAGTTAATTTCATTTCAATTTATTTGATTCCATTGTTAATCGAATAAACCAAATTCTCACCCTAAGAGGAATCGGAGAAGGATGGGTAAGACGGGTTGGATCAGGTCTATGGGGTTTTTAAGCACATCTTGTTTTGGCTTCACATACAGGCCATAAAAGTTAAATTAGAATATTTTAAACAGTGCAAATGCTTGCAAACAGTTGTTAGAATATTTAAGGTTGGATAAATTATTACAAACACCCACTCTTTAAGGGTTGTAACTTGGCTCCTTGAACTTTGTTTTGTGATAATAACCTCCCTATACACAAAGGCTATGCTTGATTGCAGTGCAATTGTATTTGTATTAGTACAAATGTTTGGGAGTGTAATTGAAAATATTGCAAATTCTAATTTAAATTTGTTTTGTGTTTTATTTTATTCTGCTTTAGGTCTTATTTTATTTCATTTGTATTGCAATCAAACAAAATAATGTAAATTTTAAAATAAAAATAAATCATAATTTACACTAAAATCATTTGCACTTCCATAATTTTAAATTAGTACAAATAAATTAGCATTGCAACCTAACACAACCTAATGAATTTCAGCACTCTACCCCTTTTATTTCCATTTCATCAATTAATCACATGGAATATTCTCATGTAATTATCTTATGCAGGTTTATATATTTTAAAACCCAAAACTACCCTTAATTTTTAAACACTAATTTTTGCATATTTCAATCAACAAAAGTTGGTAGCAATTTATACCTTCTATGGAATTACTATTGAATGACCGGCTTCAACTCCTTGAACAGTTGATTTTCAATACCATGCTTTATAATGGGTATGTTTATACTTTTCATCATTGTTGTTGTAATGTTGTTGATGTCGGGCCCAATGACAAGAATAGGATCGGAAAGCTAGATTGAAAATAGGGGTGTTTATGAAAAATCGAAAAACCAAATTGAATCGAATGGAGAAAATAGAATCGTAAAATGCGGTTAATCAAATCGATCAATTCAGTTTTAGTTTGGTATTTTTGAAAAACCGAATGATCGGTTCAATTTTCGGTTAACCTAAAAAAATGGTGATTAATCGAACCGACCAATATATTATATATATATATATATATATATATATAT